ATTTAAAGGAAATAAAGATTCTCCTCAGGCCACGTGAGCCAGAGGGAACTCACACCCCAGAATGAACAGGGCGTTTCTGTCTCCTCTTGGCAGACGTCAATCCAAAAGCGTCAGAACCAGGCACAGGGCAGCCCCCTGTCCATCTCATGGCTTTAACTGTGCTACTTAGCATTTTTGCTATGACCAAGTTTTACCTGGGCAAAATCTATCCCACATTTTCCCCAGTTCTCCTGACCTATTTTAGTAATGCTGAGCAGAGGTTATAGACAGTGTTCTTTGTCCTTTGGAAAGAGGTAGTCAATCATTAGTAAATTGTAGGGCTAAAGTGTATTATTTGGTATTAATTTCATTGATATATTTTATGTCATGGGGGTGTCTGCAGGATTTAATTGGAAAACTTTGCTCTGTTCCAACTACCACTTAAAAAAATTGTGTGGAACACATGGTTTTTCACACTCTTTCAAAATCAGACTTAAAAAGTTTTTAAGAGAAATAATCTGCAGTTTAGCTGGTACTGAATGATAGTAAAATATGGCCTAGTAAGTTATATAACACTTGGAGTAACACCCAGGGTTTTTTTCTGAGAACATGTCAAGGAAGCCATATAATTGTATCTGAACATGCTCTTGTTTAGCAATACTAAGTCTGTACCAACCTGTTTTCTTTCTCATGTTAATCCAGCTTTAAAGAGTATATCTTTTCAGATCAATCAATGCCTTGACCGGATTCTTTATCGTGAATCAAATTTCATTCATTCAGCAAACATTTATTCAATACTTACTATCTTTTAGATATTGTACTTGGGTTTCAAAGTGCTTGTAGTTTAGTGGAGAAGAAAGACAAAGACGAATGTAAATAGTGTATAGGTGTTCAAATATAGTCATCAAGAACTGCATGGTCAGGGATTTTATCCTACTTAACAAGTCAATAGGTTAGTCTGTTACTGTTTCATGGATGCTGTTAAAAGATGCAAGACTCCTGGGTCAGAGACAACAGACTTTATTACCACTGCAAAAACAGTAGCAAGAGCTTTATGTTGGTTTGTGTTCCGAGTCCTGTGGGGACAATGCAAATAGTCTATGAGGGATGCCTGAAGTGGGTTACATAACAAGAGAGAAGCACTGAATTTAGGGAATTTACCTCTTTTACAGTATATAGAATTAATCCTGCTCTTTGTAGGTGGGAGATGCTATCTCATCCCTCACAGTTACTTCCTGCAAACACTACCCCAAGAGATAGCCTCGGTAAAGAGCTGTAGGGGACTTACATTGTTGGCATACGTAGTAAGAATGTTCAGGGAAGTTCAAGGCCTGTGGCAGACTGCCTCTTCTAACGTAAGTGCAGCATTTTATATGCTGCATAAGAGGGCCAGTTAACCTAGTCCTGGGGGAATCAAGATAAGTTTCCTGAAAGAGATGACCATGACAGTCAAATAGGAATCAGCCACACAAAAGGGGAAGAAGAGCATTCTGGCTAGGAGAAATGTCATATATAAAACCTGAAGTAAATGATTCACTTCAAGAAGTTTCTTATTTCCTTTCATATTCATCTCCGTATTGAGTTCCATTCACAAACAAACAGAATTGTAGTCAGTGTGTGACTCTGGAAGGTCTTGATTCAATACCCTTCTGTGAATTGCACAAGCCCCTGGAATCTTTATATTACTGTCATGTAAAATTCACAGCTAATTATATTATATGTTCATAATATTTCCACCTTTTCTAGTAACTGCTCTTCCTTTTTTACTCTATTATCCACATGATTAACAGCGAGGCTTTGTAAAATATGACCTTAATCATGACTACAGTTGATTGGCCCATAGTTTGGGACCTGACTCATGCAGAACTAATCAGAATCCTTTCCCTGGGAGTTTATTTATTTATTTATTTTCAAAATATTGAGTACAAGTGTTTTTTCGTTACATGGATATCTTGGATAATGCTTAAATCAGGGCTATTGGTGTACCCATCACCAGAATAGTGTTCATTGTACCCAAGAGGTAAGTTTTTATCCCACAACCACCCTCCTGGCCTTCCCTCTTCTTAGTTTCTCAAGTCCCTTATATCACTTTGTGCCCATGTGTACCCATCTATTAGCCCCCATTTATTAGTGAGAACATATGGTGTTTTCCCTGGGAATTCAAAATCAAGGTTAGGAGATTTTGACTTATAACCAACTACTTTCAAACAGAGGAAATGTAACCTCTGCCCTTTTTTATTTTTTTCCGAGTAGACTGAAAATGGAAGAGAATATAGAAAACTCATTGGGTTCTCTACAGTGCGCTACAGCCTGATACCATTCATGGGCAGTATCTCTGTCCCTGGTTTCTGAGACACTTGGGTATCCTTATAACAAATTCCTCTTTAACTTTAGAGAATTTTCAATATCATTAATTAATAAAAACCTTACGTAGGGTTAGACAAGATTAGATACCATAAAATCCATAAAACTTGACTTTCATTATTTTAATAATATTTATTCAGCACCCACTTTATATCATGCATTCTACAAGGTGTTGGGGATATAAACTCAGTCCCTGCCCTTCCATATATTACAGCCTATAAGATAAAGTTTAGGGTGTGGGACAATTGGTTTAAATTGCATCCAAAACCAGCTTCCTCCAAAAATGGAACTACTCATTGGTTCAGCCTGATGGCAATCAGCCCTGAACCAATCAAAAGTGCCCAGACTGTTAGGGTCATGTAAGAACTTTGATTCCTCCACAACATGTGGCCTGGGGGGAGGTGGTGTCAGTCAGAGAATGGAGTTCTGAGAGAAAAGAAAAAACAAACCTATCAGTATCTATCACATCCCTCCAAAACATTTCTAGAATGAAAATGGCAATTCCAGACTGGAATGACAGCATAATCTGGAAAGGATGATTGGGAAAGAAAGCACAGACCTAGAAAAAAAAACTTAGTGCTAGCATTGATATTATTAGAACACAAAGTTTCACAGAATCAAATACAATTATCAATTTTTAAAAAATCAAGTAATTTGCTAAATATTTTTCTGGACAGTAAATCTTTCAAAAAATTATCTTTAATTTTCTATTTAAGGCCAGCACGGTGGCTCATGCCTGTAATCCTAGCACTCTGGGAGGCTGAGGCGGGTGGATCATTTGAGCTCAGGAGTTCGAGACTAGCCTGAGCAAGAGCGAGACCCCGTTTCTACTAAAAATAGAAACAAATTAATTGGCCAACTACGAATATATAGAAAAAAATTAACCAGGCATGGTGGCACATGCCTGTAGTCCCAGCTACTCGGGAGGCTGAGGCAGCAGGATCACTTGAGCCCAGGAGTTTAAGGTTGCTGTGAGCTAGGCTGACGCCACGGCACTCTAGCCAGGGCAACAAGAGTGAAACTCTGTCTCCAAAAAAAAATTTATTCTATTTAAGTGCATAAATAATAATTATATATTTCTCTATATGTGTATATATTTATATTTTATTTTTTGGTTAACATTTTTTATTTTGCTCATCTGTCTGAGTTAAAATATGGTTTATTTTTTGGAAGGGGTCTTGACTATCCTCTTTTCTCCTGTTCTGGAACATCCTTCCCCCCAACACCTGGCCACAAAACAACTGACATTAATAGCCTAGTATATATCCCTCCATATGCACACATGCATATATATACAGGTTTTTTCGTTACTGCTTTACAATAATGGTTTCATAATATTACATATGTGAATGTTCCATAATATATTCAGTCATTTCTTATTAGGTATTCACTTTGTTTCCAGGTTTTGCCACAACAAATGTAGCAATAAAAATCTTGTGTATGCCTATTTATATGTATTTCTACAAGAGTGATTTCTGGGGCAAATGAATATGGTGATTTGGTATATTGGCCCACTTACTGGCCTGATTCTGCATCTTCCTGGTCATAACAAGATATCAGCTCCCTTGGTAGGTCCACTTCTGTGGAATGGTTTTTGGAATTGGTCTAGGAATTTCAGCTAAAAGAAATCTATCTCCTCAGCCCTAACAATAACTTTGTAAGCAAAGTATACTGTCTAATAAATCTTTTCCTATTTGAACAGCTTGAAAGGAGTCTGTTGACTACCTTTTTTTTTTTTTTTTTTTTGAGACAAGAGTCTCGCTTTGTTGCCCAGGCTAGAGTGAGTGCCATGGCGTTAGCCTAGCTCACAGCAACTTCAAACTCCTGGGCTCAAGCAATCCTCCTGCCTCAGCCTCCTGAGTAGCTGGGACTACAGGCATGCACCACCATGCCCAGCTAATTTTTTGTATATATATATATTAGTTGGCCAATTAATTTCTTTCTATTTATAGTAGAGACAGGGTCTCGCTCTTGCTCAGGCTGGTTTCGAACTCCTGACCTCGAGCAATCCGCCTACCTCGGCCTCCCAGAGTGCTAGGATTACAGGCGTGAGCCACTGCGCCCGGCCAATGTTGACTACCATTAAAACCCTAGCTGAGCCAATGTATTTTAAATTTTAATAAAAGACGGTAAAAATATTTGGAATAAATTTCCATCCATATTCAAGATGATGATATTCTCCTGTCTTTAGCAGAGAAAGGGCTTCGGGTTGCTTTTCCAGAAGATTAGGACAAATCTATTAATGATTTGCTTAGCAGGAATTAACATTGCATGACTTATATTGAATTAGAAAGACCTGCTTACCTTTCATCAGTGCTACTGGACAATGGAAGACCCCCAGAGCCATGTAGCTTCCTCTTCCTTTATAAATGTGAGAATCCCCAGAAAGAAATGCCTTCTTTATTTCTTTCCTATGAAGCAACCATGCACATTGATCTCCTGATGTTGGCTGGTTGCTTTGTGGGTACAAATGAAAAGAAGAAAGAAAGCAAACCACTGTTTTTGTAAAACCACCCGTATGACGGATCTCACTCAATAGCCACAAAAAAGATTGGTTTGAATACTTTTGCTCACCCCCTTTTAGTATTTTTCCTGAAAGTTTTACACTTAAAAATAATCATTTGAGGATGGGAATAAAAACCAAATCAAATAGTACATCTGTTTAAATCATTTATTTCAACACAGGCATTGTTTTAAATTTGCACCTTGTCTCGTAACACAGTTCATACCTAGAGAACAGGTCTGAGAACAACTACATAAAAGGATTATTTGAGAAAATTTTAACAAAAGTGCTACGGCTTGTTTCAGAAACAAAAATTGCCAGTCACAAAGAGCCACTAAGTGGCAATACAGTCACAAATTTGCTTGGAAAGTAAAATATTTTACATATTTACACTATACATGTAAATGGGATATTCCGAAGCATTATTATTAACAACAAACTCTTAGCAAGAAGGCCTCTTTAATCCTCTGGCATTTAATGAAAGATATTAATTTCATGGAGTTCTCCAATTTGATTCCTATCTTCACCATAACCTAAGTGGACTTTCTTTCACCACCTCCAGTACACATATTTACCTCTTACACAAAGCAGCTTTTATTAGCTTATTATCAACCAAACCCTTGTTAGAAGTTCGAGTTTTATTAACATCAATGTATTTACAATGTAAAGGTAAATTATTTAGAGAGAAGTCTCTAAAAATTGAAATAATTTCATGAAACCCTATTCTAAATGGGCTTTACAGTACAAAATTTATGGTTACAGAAGTCTAATAGCTAAACAAGTTAATAATTTACAAGGTACTTATTAGTATTGATTCCCCTATGATTCACTCCATTTACATGAATATTTATATGAATAATATCTTCTAGAAAACAAGTTATGAGTATAAAAATGGCTACTATAAATTACCATAGCTATACCAAAAATGAACATTAAAATGCAGCAGTTTGTATGTTAAAATACATAGAAATTTGCTAGACTTCTTTAACGAAGTGCTTTATAAAAAGTATAAAACTATAAAAGGTGCTATTTTCATGAATTTTCTGTTTTCCTCATTGTTGAGCCAGGCCAACAAGCAAACATTATAAACAGTGCAACTGAGCATTGGCCATCAATTACCTTCAAATTCAGACAGTAGAATCCAGCTCAGAGAGTCCAGGCCCCAAAGCAGTTTTTCATCCTTACCTTACCTAACTGTTGCCATAGCCTAAACTCCCTGAAAAATAAGCTAACTTCATTTTACCTTTTGTAGCATTCATGTATTCTCAGAGAGTTTACTGAAATAGAACTTGCAAGCTGATCGTTAGAAAAATCAAGAATCTTACTATTAAAATACTAACTCTGAATATCTTAAAAATCACATAGAAAACACAGTCATGGTTTATAAAAAAATTACTTATAAATAATCAGATAAATAGAAAAAAGAGCAAAGGTAGAATTTTAAAACATACATTAAACACAGAATACAATGTTATTCTTTACATAAATTTGAGTTGAAAAGTCCACAACAGTTGATGTAAAATACAACAGTTGATGTATTATCAGTCTCTTTCAGCTCAAGATTGGTCAGACCTTGAAATTTAAAACGGTTGACAGATTTAAGGAATAGCTTTCATGTTAGTTACCTCATCATCAGTTTTGAGTTGCATGGGAACAATGCTAACTAGCCTTGGCATTTTGCTTCTAGGCAAGGCAATAATTAGGAGGATAATAGTAACATAGTTCTTTCTTGCATTTTTATCAGTTCCAGATCTCTATACACTTCACCAACACCTACCATTATCCGTAATTTATATGGATAAAACAGACTAGGTGAGAAAAATGGAAAATAAATTAGGTCAGGTGGCAAATGTAAACCAAACAAGATAAAGTACACTCATGTTGATTGTCCTAATAGAGAGATCCAGGATTGCATGCTTTCTATAGTTCTAGCAAATTATCTTCACTGCCATTTATTGGTCTTTATCCTGAATCAGGAGAGAAATCCCCTGATGTTTTGCATGGCAACTAAAGAGTTAGGAAAGCCAAATTATTAATGATTATCAGAAGTAATTTATTCTAGATAAATTATTGAAAAACTTATAGGAACAAGGCTTTAGGAGCTGTCCCTTGGGATTTCTCAAGGGTCTGGTAAATGATCCAGCAGAGAAGCCTGTGAATCCCAGGGTATCAGATCTGACTTGACTGAATTTTAGGGATTTGGCCAAGGCTCCCACTTGATATGGGTGACTAAAATGCCCCACTTGAAAATAAGTGTTCTATCCTGCAAATAAAGAAAATGGGGAAATGGGAAACAACAATTGCTGAGAGCCGAGGTAAAGATAAGTCTGTCCCATGAAGAGATGTCTACTTATCTCTGCCCCTCATTTATGTTCCCTTCTTAAGCAGAAATTCTGTGACCATGCAACTATGTATGGTCAGACTGCCTGGCCCAAGTCCCTGCCTCAATTAAAATTCACCTTTAATAATTCAGCCGGTCCCCAAAAACTGTTTGAGAGGAATTCCTAGGAGCACTGATCCTCTATTGGCTTACTAGGGATTCAGATCCTCATCTATAACCTTAACATGTCCTCAACCATGTGGCTCCTGGGCTCCACCACAGATGTAACAGAATGTCCTCATGAAAATTCCTTTATCTTTGTTTAAAACAGGAAAAAAAAAATCTTAAACCTCCTAAATGTTGATGAGTCAAACAGGATGATAATATTTACTCCCTGTTATCACCCCTATATTTTGTTTACCGTCATGAGTGTAGGGTGTGGACAGGAAGAGGCAAACAGAGTTTTGCAGTTATGCTGGGTAATTAATAAGTGTTGCATGTACCTGGGATATTAGGGTTGTAAATCACAATGAGAGATATAAAAATGTTAGGCGGAAAGTAAAGCAGAAAGCCTAAATGGGACAGTGAATGAGAGATTAAGTTGGGGAGAGGTGGAAAGGCAGGCCAAGAACATACAGAGAGAGAGAAAATAGCAGAGAATCGCTCCAAATAAGAATCAATTGTTCCAGCACCCAGGAAGTGTATATATGGGATATGGAGAGGAAAAGGGGAATTTGGGCTATCTCAGTGCAGGCACCACTCAGACTAGAACTTTAAAATCTGTCCTTCCCTTGGACACACACATTTACACTTCATTTCTATTACAAGCTTTGTGTGAAAAGGTAATGAATAAAAGCCTCACAGTTCTGATTCTTTATCGTTTTCATCCAGGTAGTATTCATCATCCGTGGTTGTGTCTGTGTCACAGTCTGAGTCTACTGGGTCCTCCTCATAGATATTAAGCGGTTCACTAGGAGATATGCCATCCTCTGGCACCTGAGTACCAGGAGAATTTGAGCTTAATGACTCCGATGGGCTGGGAGGGTTAATCACATCATCTTTTAGGAAGCCAGGGTTCTTAAGAAAACTTGGTTTCCATAATCTTCCTTGTGTGAGTGACCTCTTTACATTTTCCAAGAAAGCTAACTGTTGTTCCTTCCCAAAAATTCCATAGTCGATAGGTCTGGAAATAGATGTTGCAGGCCTGGGACCTGTTTTTGTCCTGCTGCTATTACACAAAGCCCAACTTTCATTTTCATCACAGGAAGGAAGTTCAGAAAAAGATCTGAATCTTCGACTATATCCACTGTTGATAGAGAATTCATTCCCAAGGGTCAGTGGACTCAGGGCATTGTCAATAGAAGTGTTTTCAGAAAAATGGCGCTCCCTGACTTTTGGAGGAAGACTTTTTCGAAGCAGATCGCCATGCACATTAATGCTTTTTAAGCTCTTTGACCGATAGAGGGGTGGCTCAGACTCCCTCTCCAGAGTTGAAGCATTCCTTTGTTGTTGCTGAGAAGTGGCCTGTGGGATGCTTACCCTAGCTTTCTGTGCAGGGTCCAATGGAAAAGGAGGGCTCAGCCTCCTCTGATGGTCAGAGAAACCTGCTTTCCTGAAGCTGCTGACTGTGAGCTGGGCTGGGGCTCCTGATTCTCTTTCCAAACTCTGGGCTACTGTTACACCTTGAGAATTTTCATGCTCGGACGGTGACTCTGAGATATTTTTAAACTCATTCTGATGTACTTGTGAAATGCTACTAGACTGCAGAGTGCTGAAGAGTGCAGAAGGTTCTCTGTTGGACATCACAGTAACCTGGAGAGGGTTCTCAGAATTCCTGACATTCATTCCATCGTTATTCAACCTGCTTTCACCTGTGGATTCTGAGGACTCTGGAGTAGGCTCAGGGGACAGTGGGCTGCACTCCAGCGTGCCAAGAGATAAATGGCCAAAGTCAGACCTGCTCCCACTTTTTGGGAAGATGGTGGCTACATGTCTTCTGGGGCTTAAATCTTTAGATGGGAATTTTCTGCTTGCTTTAGATATGGCTGTGACTCTGTGTTTAACTGAAGGTCTGTTTTCCTCTTTTTCTAGATCATCCAAGAAAATCTTCTGCATTTCATCTTTAGCCTTCCTGCTCTCTGCCATAGTTACCTCCTGACTTCTTGGAGGCAATTCTCTGGTTTCAGACTGCAAACTCTCTAAGTCTGGATCACCTGACTGAGTCTCCTCAACAAGCTGTAGTTTTTGCAATGCTGGAGTAAGAGCCAAGACTTGGCTCTCTGAGTCAGAAAGTGTTTTATTAGACACTTTTTGGCAATTGGTTCCAATTTTCCCTCTACCTTCCCTAGGATGTGATCTATTGGAGCCATCATCTATAGCTCTGGCTCTCTGATCTTTGTGAGGGCACTGCTCACTTCCAGTGGATGTAATGGCCATACCACTGCCTGCATACTCCCCAAAACTTCTGGTTTGGGAATTTTCAATATTATTACTATCTTCTGAATGGGCTAGGAGCCTAGAGGGACCACTGTTGCCTGAATTAACGGGTGGGTGACAATTTTCAGATTTTTCTTCTGAAATATTTTTTCCCTGAAGCATCAGTGAAGTATACAGGGTTTCACTTTGCAATTTTTTCCCACTTTCTCTCCTGCTTTGTGAATCTTCTAAAGGTGTTTTAGCAAAATTACTGACATGATTATTCTTTTGAGCAGAACTGACTGGCATCTGTAGATTTTCAGGTGACGTTGTTCCTGACTGCTCTTGTGTAGAATAATTTGGCTTGTCTTTTTCTAAAGCATTAGGAAATGTTTCAGTCTCCACTTGAAGTGATTCTGTAAGTGAATCGGTATTTTGTGTATACTGTTGAAGGAGGTTACAGAATTTTTTGCTGGGTTTCCTTGGTAAAGTGTAATATATTGAAACCAACTCAAGACATTTTACATTATCTTCATCACCAGAAACAGAAAACATACTGGTAGTCTTAAATTTGTGTAATGTTTCCCCACTTTCTTTTCCTGACAAGTCTGAACAAAAGGGTAAAGGGTCTTCATTTGAAAGGGAAAATACACTTGTCTTAGAAGCAGCAATTTTACTATCCTTTTCAGAGCGTTCTTGAGGGTATTCCTTTTGGTGGTGTCTTTTGGTTAAAGAACCATCTCTAACAGATAAGTCACTTTCCACAGGGTTAATAGTTCTCTCCCAAGGCCTTGGTGTTATAGGAGAAGTATCTGTGTCTGAGACCAATGCCTTTTTCCCTTCATCTCTTCCAGTTGAGGCATATGGATCCCCTGAAGGACTTGACGTAGCCTTGTTGATGAGGAACGGAAGTGGTCCTTTTCTAACAGAAGCAGATCCAGTGATTTTCATATTTGTCATCCTCGCTGTGGCTTCAGACGCAACTGGGCCTGAGTCTGGCATGACTTTGGAAGATTCACTCACTGACTCAGGAGAACTGGAGCTGAATTTGTTTGATGTACACTTCCCCACTGGATCTTCCACATTATTTTTGATCTGGAATGGCAGTGGCCCCTTTCTAAATGAAGCAGCCATTATCTTACCTCCTGACTGCCTGCTACTTATGAGAAAACTGGTTGATTTTCTTGGCAAAGTACAATAAATTGTGTCAAACTCAGAAGCTTTGGCGTTGCTCTGACTCACCTCCGTGAGACTACTACTACTGCTCGTGGGTTCTGATGTACTTTCTGTTTTGCTTAACTTTTCAATGCAGGATACACGGCGTCTTACTTTTCCTTTTCCCTTTCCACTCCTGAAAGGAGAGTGTGAATGGTACTTGGCAACATCAACCACTTCGTCATGTACAGGCACGTGACTACCATGACTCTCTTGGTTTTCTGAGGGGCTTACAGAAAACTGATTATTTTGGTTCTTCCTAGAATTGTCTTTTTCTCTTTCTCCCACAGATGGATCTTTGTCTGAAGGACCTCTGGAGAACCCTGTAGTAGATGGAATCATTAAAGCATCAAGGAAAGAATTATTTGATGAGGAGGAAGGTGGCAGTCCATCTATAGAACCACATGAGATCTTGTGGCCAGCAGCCGACTTGCTACAGCTGGTGGAATGAGTTGTGGCACGTTGTTCTCCCTCAGGTTTTAAAATAACCGGCTTTTGTGGAGGTTGTGCATTTTGATTATCAGTAGGTTCAGAGCTCTGGTGGTCATTTGCAGTAGTGCCTGAAATATCTTGATTTCTTACTGTTAATTCCTGGTGACACCCTTGATTTGGACTGGGAAAAGACGGTGTTCTGCTTTCCTGAACAAAAGGAAGGGGAGTTGCTAAGCCAAGTTTTCTGTTCCCAGTAAACCTCTTATCTTTTTTATATTCATTGGATTTATCTTTGTGTGGTATGTACATTTTGGAACTATCTTTCCTGGAAAAGGCTCTGGGTGACCTTTTGGAACTTACTGTGGTAGGTACATTAAAACCAAACCTGTTGCTCTTGGCTGAGTCCTGGGAGAGGGGATTGTGAAAATCAGTTAAAGGGTTAGAGGTCACTATCTGTGAAACAGGTTGGGGTATTTCACCTGTCATGGTTGTCTGGTCCATCTTGCTTAGCTGTTTGTCTTCTTCTGAAATAGATTCATTTAAGTCTTTGTCATTATTCACTTCTAGGACCCAGCTATTAGGCTGGCTTTCAGCAAGAGGCAGAGAACCAATTGAATCACTGTTGGTCGTGGTGACTTCTGTATGGCTTCTTACTGGACAAGAGGCAGGCTTATTAGGAATAATTTTCTGCAAAGTGACTGTGGGATTCTGAAAATTGGGACTCTGAGGATTCCCTCTGTCATCAGGAATCTGGGGGAAGGAAGTTTTGAAAGAGGATGCTATAGTCTGAGCAATTCCAAATGAGTGAGGTTCTTTGTTTATATGTACTTCTACAGGAGAACTGAGCTGTTGGTATTCCAGCCCACCAGATCTGATGTGATAGTTTGAACCAGACATGGAGCAAGTATTTGGTGTGCCGAAATGAGGACTCAACTGGTTCCCATTACCTTGTGATACCTCCATGCTCTCTGGCATGGATGTCTGAAAATTAAACTGCCAAGGATGTGGCTCTTCTTGGCCTCTAGAAACATTTGTTCCATAGTTAGAAGAAAATGATTCCCAGCGTTCAGAAGAAACACTATGGCCATGAACAGCTGATGCACTATTTGCTTCAATGGAAGTCATTTCAAAGTCTCTATCAGAAGTAAAGGATTTCCTGCTTTGATGAAAGTCAGACCAAGAAGAATGTTTCTCCTGTTGGCCCCAAAAAGGACTTTGTCCAAATCTCTGTTCTCTGCTTCGTCCGAAGGTATTGCTAAAGAAGGACCTGGCAAATGGGTTGTCTTGATGGTAGAATGGCATATTCTCTGAGTTCTCAAATGTGTCAGGACTCACTGCATTATCCATGGGGGCATTTAAACTAATACTTTGGTAAACATTCTGTGAATGGTACGATTCATATCTCCTATTCTCCTGGGGAAACCTAGGATACATATACTGGTCAGCAGGATCAATTTCCATTGGTGATGGTGCTCTCAGGAACTCTTCCTGGTTCTGCCTGTCTCTGGAAGAATCTGCTCTATTCCATATGATGGATGATAAAGGAGTTCTCTTTGGGCTTTGTTGGTGCCTTGGTGGTATAAATCCACTCTTGTTCTGAACTGTGGATGGAAAATGTAAGCTCCTTGCTGTGAAATGGCCTGTAGCTGGTAAGGCTAATCGTTGCCTGCTGTCAAAACACAGGGAAGTACTACCAAAAGTATTCTTTTGCACATAATCTTCTTTTACGATTCTGGGCTCCCTTGTCCTGTACATATCATAAATTGTCTTTGTCCTAGGAGAAAAGGTTTTAAAACCTTCCCTAGGAGTTCTTGGTCTTAGGATGTCATAGATAGACATATTGGAAGTCTCATTATGGTGATTTTTGTGCCTTCCTGTGATGTTATCATGTCTGTTCCCACTGGAATAAAAATGACTGAACTGTGTTCTTGATCCATAGTTGAAGGGTGTTCTCAAATTCACTGAGCTTGCAGATTGTTCCTGAGCCAGTTTGCTATCCAAATCATCTAAAACTAAAAGGAGAATATCAATCAACATTTTTGTATATGATTTTGTAGTTTAATAATTTGAATTGATGAATGGCCCTCTTTAAGAAACATAATCATTCATAATTTTATTTTTACCATATTATCCTAAATGTGATGAAATTAATTTTAATCATGTTTTTAAGATAGTCTGACTTTTATGGAAGACTGTAATGGAAGTTTCTTTTTCATACTTTTCCAAAGTAAACCTTCAATAATGCCTTAAGGACAAAAGCTATATTTTGTCTAGCAATGAATTTTAATCATGTTTTCTTTTAGTGCATTTAAAGTGTGCTGATGGCTGGCCGTGGTGGCTCATGCCTGTAATCCTAGCACTCTGAGAGGCTGAGACGGGTGGATTGCTCAAGGTCAGGAGTTCGAAACCAGCCTGAGCAAGAGGGGGACCCTGTCTCTACTAAAAAATAGAAAGAAATTAATTGGCCAACTAAATATATATAGAAAAAATTAGCTGGGCATGGTGGCACATGCCTGTAGTCCCAGCTACTTGGGAGGCTGAGGCAGAAGGATCGCTTGTACCTGTGAGTTTGAGGTTGCTGTGAGCTAGGCTGACACCATGGCACTCTAGCCCGGGCAAGAGAGTGAGACTCTGTCTCAAAAAAAAAAAAGTTTAGCACCTAATTTATAAACATACTTAGTTTATAAACTAAGCATAGATTTGAGCAATATATAATTAAAAGCTATATATAATATTATTAAATGATATGCTAATGATAGATTGTTTTTCCTGGAAAAAGTAAGATCCATTAGCACTCCTATAATACAACACTTTCTATGTGTCAGAATGCACTTAATATATTAACTCTAAGTTCTCAATATATTAAGCACTTAATATTAACTCATTAAATCCTCACATAGCCTTACAAGGTTGGTACTTTTACTATTCTCATTATATAATGAGTAAACTCAAGCATGAAGAGATTAAGTGAATTGCTAAGATCAAAAGATACTGGGATTTGAACCCAGACAGTCTGTCTCCTGAGCCATGCACACAACCACTGCACAATGCAACCTCTGTGCTATAAAAACTCACTTTTTAGTTTTTGCTCTTTGTGAACTATAAAGATGATTTCACTCTGAGATGAGCTCGTTATAAAGATATGAAGTTGCTATTGTCAAACAATGATTACTTTTCTCTCAATAGCAAGGTCAGAGGGTGGCGTCCAAGGTCAGAGGGTGGCGCCCACTGACCTCCTTATAATATTGAGGACCTAGGCCAAGCCAAGACCAAGGGCTCGTGCTTACTAGGACCACAGTCTCTGTGATCTCAGACAAGTCACAGCCTATTTTCAGTGACATGGTTGGTATTTCTTAAACTGTGTTTATTTAATCATACCTGACCTCTTTTCCTCAATAAAAACCTGTTAGACTTTGAATAGAACCATAATCTTTTGAGGTTTTTAGATTCTCTAAGATCCACCCTGAAATAGACATCTTTTTCTATATTCATATTATAATAAATACAAATAAATTATGTGTATTTACTGAAGAAATGCTCATTAATGAAAATCAAATCTGAAATGAAAAGTAAGTTATAGCATTGTTTGAATTACCAAAGAAGTTTTTGGTTTACAGAAATCTTTCCTTCTGAGGTACATAAAATGGTTCACTCCCTTGGTTATTTCAAATTACTTGTCATTCAAAATTTTGATTTTAACTGTGCAATGACAGGAAAAGTGAGGCCTATCAGTGTCTGAGCACATATCAGGAGGCTGTGCATGTGAGGTGCCAATTATGTTAGGGCAGGTGCTAAAGGGATTTTTTACATCTGTTCTGGATTTTCCCTTCCCTGTTTTATTTATAAGTTGGTGCTATTAAGTTTGCATTGCCAACAAAAGAACTAACCTTGCCCATTAAGGATCTGTAACTGAGGAATTCTTTACAGAATCATCTGTCAATGTTTTAATGACAAAATATTTATTCATCCCTATTCCCTGAAATAATCTACTTCCGATAGCCACAACGAATTAATTGATCAATACCAAAGTATAAGGTGGAGCACATGAAACAAAACAAACAGGATTTTAAGTTACTCAAAGTCACTTAGAATCCCAAATTAACAATGCTGTTTTTTACTCACTACCCCTAAGATGAGAAAAATTCCTGTTCTGCTTCTCTTCTTTATTTTAGAGAGGCCGCATCATTTTTTTTCCATTCCATGAACAGTGGCTCTTCCCTTTAAACGAAACCCTCATTTTGGAACACAGATTTTCCTCTGGGCTCTGCCAGGAACCATGATACTGAAGGGAGTCCCTAGGTTGACTGTCCAGCTGAATGGCCCTCACTGACCACCACATCTGCCCCACACACTACGGTCAAGGTGATGTTACTACCTTTGCAAGCTGAATTTAGTTCCTCAAGGTGAAGCTGGTGATGACTTTAGAGTTAACTTATTTTGACATAGAATAACCTATGTGAAGGTGAACTATGATTATATAATAATAAGAGACGTGCGCATGTGGAACTTTTGGAATCTGTTTCAATTTTTATCGTTATTTATTGCACGTGGTTAATTTTTTAGTGACAATTAAATTTCATCACAGTGTATTTAGGTCCTAATTAGGAACAATAAAAGTCTATTAAGAACAGCAAACTTTGTAGATATATTTCCTAAAGATATATTTTGTTTTTTACCTGAGGTTAAATATTAAACATTATTACTATTTATCAGTCCTTGATCTGAGAATATTTGCTTAGATTATATTATAATCATAAGATTATATAATCATAATGATTATATTTAATCATTTACTATTTGTGTTAATAACATATATCAGCATCCTCTTCAAATAAGGTAAACAAGGGGACTTCAAAAGTAAACTACTCTTGAAATGTATTATTAGGGTATTTGAGATCTTTCTAATGTTTTGATATAGTCATTTATTCTACACACTTCCCTGTTAGAACTACTTTTGTTGTATCCCATAGCTTTTGGTATGGTGTGTTTCCATTTTCCTTTGCCTCAAGAAATATTCTAATTTTCTAAGTACTTCATTGATCAATTCATTGTTCAGAAGGGTATTGTTTAGTTTTCCTGTGTTTTTATAGTTTTCAAAGTTTCTCTTATATATTTCTAGTTTTATGCCATTGTTATCATAAAAGATAGTTAATATAATTTCAGTTTTTAAAATAAAAAAAAAGTAAACTACAGGGGTCCTTCTTGGTGTACTTACACACACACACACACACACATACACACACATATGCGTGCGCGCACACACACACACATAGTAAACTACAGGGACGGATATGTGTTGAGCACTTTAATACAAACTATAATTATTATTTGCTTTCTTTAGTACCAGGAGTTCCAAAGGCAATTTTGATGCACAGACTTACCTTGGAAAAACTCATTCTCCAGCAGTGAAGCATCCCATGGAGGAGGCATGCCACTTTCCTCCCTCATGACTGCTGGCTTGGGGGCAAACGCACTGTCAACTGGTTGATTTTCCAGAGGTGAATTGTATATTTTTGCCTGCTAATTTTAAAGTAGAAGACACACAACATTATTTCTAGACCTTTTCCAGCCAAAATGCTCACATACTCCCACAAAAAATGTCCCCTAAGTTTAAAAGTCCTAGTGTAAGGACTGCAAATCAATTTTCCTAACATTTATTTGTCAACTTGTAATGTTTTGTTGTTTCTGCCAGTTGCAGCTGACCATGAACTTCTCCATACTTACATTAATTCTTCTTTTTTTTCCTTTAGAGACAGAGTCTCACTCTGTAGCCCAGGCTGCAGTGGCATGATCATAGCTCACTGTAGCCTTGAACACCTGGGCTCAAGTGATCCTTCCCACCTCACCCTTCCAAGTAGCCCTGACTACAGGTGTGCATCGCCATGCCCACCTAATTTCTTATTTTTTGTAGAGCTGAGGTCTCGTTATGTTGCCCAGGCTGGTTTCAAGCTTCTGGCCTCAAGTGATCTTCTTGCCTCGGCCTCCCAAAGTGCTGAGATTACAGGCATGAACCACGGTACCTGGTCCACATTCGTTCTTTTAATTATGAATCTTCTGAGCCCCTCTCTGCCAAAGCTTGCTACAAACTTCAACAGCACTACATAAATCTTAAGGGAGTTCCTGGCAGGCAGAAAAGAAATCAACCTCTCGAGTTGGGAGTGTTTTCTCCATGGCCCCAATGCCTGGGATTTTGGATTTTGGATTTCTTAATACTGTAGGATTTTAGATTTCTTAATACTGTAGGTATCAAGAGACTGTTAGCTAAAACTTGTAGTGGACCTTAAGATTTGTGAATTGATGGATTTAGGAGGGAAAAAGTGTTTCTATTCAGAGGTCACTAGAATGGTAGACCTCAGCCATGAAGAGCTGATTTAGTAGTTCTGAAACAAAGGCACTAAAAAGTATGACCTTATAAATGATGAAAGTCTTTTTTTTTTTTTTTTTTTAAGAAAAAAACCATTGCTAATTTTTAAACTAAAGGATTTAGGAGAATGATATAGAGCTAAAGTCGTTTCACTTTTTTAAACTAGCAAACATTTATCTTGATTTGATCAAATCCAATCACTGCCCTACTTTCAAGCCTTTATTTGTCTTCATAACCTTGCAGGCATTATCCACTCCCATGCTTTCACTTTCTTGTGCCAAAACTCCATTTGCATTTCCTCTGTCAAACTGGCTCTGTCACTCATGACTCCACTTTAACTCATCCTGCACTTAACCCTACAGAAGGCCACTTCTCTTTCTGGTCTCTATTTTCAGCTTACTCTGCTACCCAGTCCTTGCCTCTTAAATCCTCCTCCCTAAGTGTTCCTTCCCTCCATTCGATGTTCATCATTGCATTTCCCCTCATCTTTAATGCCTAAGACCAAATGTCTAACCTTTCCAAAGCTCCAACTTTTTAATTTCTCCATCACATGTCTGCTCCATTTTAAAGCCCAGGTTCTTTTAACCCCTGCATTCTGTACCATCGAGTATTTTCACTCCTGGCTGCTTTTTTTCTCAAGCTCTAGGTCAGTATTTTCTTCTAGAAACCTGCCCGAATTTCATTGACATGTGGTTTTCAGTTCTGTGGGCAAGCCACAATTGACTACTCACAAAGGAGATTTATTAGTAAGGAAGGAATTTTCCATTGATAATTTATTGGTCATTGGATATAATTTAACACACTAATATAAAATTCAGAAGTAAATAGATAGTAGAAGGAAAACATAACTATAGTGAGATATCCATTGGAAGTTATAAAACCTCAAACCAATCATCTGAGAAATCAGATGAGTTAAAGCTAATTCTTTTTACTCTAAAGTACATCAAAGTATTTTCTTTACTTCCCTGCCTACTGTCTCTCTAACTCTTTGTTTGTGATAATAACAATTAGTCACAGATCTTATAAATCCATTCTTCCCAAATCTGCAGCTTTGACATTTGGTGTGGAATAGACACAGCTGATTAAGAGACTATCAAGGGTCATTGTTTCTGAACCGTTTAACACCTGAACAAACTTCAGATTTTATCTTTGTAGACTAGGGTACATTCCTTGTGGCCTCCAGGATCACACTGCTTTGTAATGAAAGTTTACAGTGACATGAAGAAGGGCTCCGTGTTTCTGCTCCTCATTTTTGCTCTTTCTCCTCTTCTCCTAAAAAATAGCAACTCATCCTTCAGAGTCCAGTTCATATATCATCGTCTCTGCAAGCCCTTCTCTAGCTCTTCCAGGCAAAATTAATTCCCAGGTTTTTTTTTTTTTTTTCTTTTTTGAGACAGAGTTTCACTCTGTTGCCCAGTCTAGAGTGCCGTGGCGTCAGCCTAGCTCACAGCAACTGCAAACTCCTGGGCTCAAGCGATCCTTCTGCCTCAGCCTCCTGATTAGCTGGGACTACAGGCCCGTGCCACCATGCCCAGCTAATTTTTTCTATGTATATTTTTAGTTGCCCAGCTAATTAATTTCTTTCTATTTTTGGTAGAGATGGGGTCTCGCTCTCTGCGCAGGCTGGCCTTGAACTCCTGAGCTCAGATGATCCTCCCACCTTGGCCTCCCAGGGTGCTAGGATTACAGGCGTGAGCTACTGCGCCCGGCCAATTCCCATAGTTTTTTAATGCTCCTTTAGTATTGTACCTATTAGGTTATATTGAAAGTTATTTACACTCTTTCCACCTGTACATTACCAATAGCCTTCTCCCCTTCCTCCCTACCACCAATTTCAGTTCCTACTCTGATCTAGGAAACCAGAGAAGTGGACAACCTCTAAATAACTAAGAAAGCACAATATTTTCCTTTTTATCCAGAGCACCGAGCCTGGCATCCAGCATAAGAGATTGGTTAATATCAAATCCAAGACTACTCATCTTCCCACAGTAACATTTCCTTCTTCTAGACTTTTTAAACACATTTTTGTATACTCATTTGCTACCAATTTTCTTATATTTGAAGAAAGTTACTCACTCAGTTTTCAAAGTACTTTTTAAAATATTCTCTAATTTACAACACATTTGCAAATTATGGATTATCATTCCCATCTTGCAGATGAGAAAACTGTACTTCACATAAGTGTCTACTTAAGTCACATGAATCATATTAATATATGGTGGCACTGACTACACACACTCACACGATCTGATCCCAAGCCCTGTTCTTGCCATCATGTTGCTTTTTCACTGTTACTTTACTAATATACATACATATCTTCAGTGAGATGGTAAACTCTCTGAAGAGGAGAACTTGTCTTAGACATTCCACATCCTACATTACTTGTGGCACAATGCTTTGTACATAGTTATAAACTGATTTACATTATACCAAGGTAGAAAACTACCTATTTAAGATTTCTAGTATGTTTTATAACAGAAATTGGGACACTAAAGATTTATAATATTCACTCAGAAAAGCATGTTGTAGGCAGGACAGCATAGTGGTTAGACACATCAGCTCTACCTACATAGGTTCAAATCTTGGTTCTGCCCATTAATAGCTGTATGACTTTGGGCAAGTTATTTAACCTCTTTTACCTTAGTTTCTCTCCTGGTAAAATGAAAACAATGACAATAGCAATAACAACAACAGCTACCTCATAGGGTTGCTGTGAGGATTAAGTGAATTAATAATCGTAAAACATTTAGAATGGTGTCTGGCACTTAGTATAAGTCCTTACTGTTGCCTATTCCTATTGTTTTGTGGTTATAGAGAATTTCCTGGAGGCCTCCTGCTGATGTTTGAGATAGAAAACTAATCCCAAAGGATTAGACGCCAGAGTTTCAAAACTCTGGCTCTCAGATCTCAGTTATGTTCTCAAACATGGTACATAACACAGGCTGCGCAAAATGAGGCCTTTTACGCAATTCCAATTTACTCTACTGATATTGTCTGCAATTCTGACATGACTAGGCTAGACAAACAATCCTTCTGTCACAGGGTAACCTTAGAATATTGAGAACTTACAAGGGCAGCCAAACCTGCAGAGCAGCTGTCAGAAAGGAAGCCCGACACTGATTATCAAGTGCTTTGCCAAAATCAACAAATAAATTTGTCAAGGTGTTCCTGAATTTGCTCTATGTCTGTTTTCCTGCACAGGACACATCCACCAATGAACCTGTGGCTTAAAACCACCCAATAATTTCTTCTTTCAATGACTGAGTGCTCAGGTTGTTCTAGAAAGTGGGGATACACAGGTGCATGTGACACAGTCCCTGCCTTGGGGAGCTCATACCAAGCCAGATGAAAAGCCACATTGTGGAGTGTGGAAAGTGCCACATTGGAAGTGTGTTCCTAGGGGCACAGAGCTGGGAGTATCACCTAGCAGGAGGCCCAGGCAGAATCTGTTGAGATGTAAGGAGTAATCAGGTAGCCCGGGCATGCTGCCAAACTTCCTGCAATACACAGGAGACCTCCTGCCCCATGAAACCGAGTTATTCAGCCCTAAATGTCAATTGTGCTGAGGTTGAAAAACACCCTGGGCTCAATGATCTCCGAGTTTCTCTGTAGCTCCAAATATTCTATGTTTTATGAAACCCTCTGCTTCCTTTAAGCATATGCAAATGTTTAAATAGCAGCTTCCTCCTCTTCTGAGTGGAAGTTCATCCAATAATGTAGTACAATCTCCCATAAAATGATGGGAATGCCCTTATACCATTCATGCCGGGCTGCCAACCAAGTGATGGGAAGTTTATCACCTCAAATCTTGGCAAGAATTCCTATGGCATCAATCGTCAACTTCCAGCTCTCTCTGGGGATAAGGGGATAGGACTTCTATGAATAAATAATGAACATCTCCACGTCATGCAGAACTCGTTTTAGATAATACTTGCATTATTTTCTCTCTCCTACTTTTTATAATAGATGTTAACAGGGAGCAACAATCACTGGCTTGAGTTTCGTTTATTTGCCTAGCTCTTCCCTTTCAGATTGTCATGCTCTGAGCAGCGAAATGGTTACACGCAAGTGGCAATCAGGAGTGTCAAAGAAAGATGTCCATAAGTCCTCGGACTGGATTCTCAAATCCTGAGAACTCCAAATTAATTCCGCCATTTAATAACTCCTAGGCATTTGCATTTCTCTTTTTTTTTTTTTTTTTTTTGAGACAGAGTCTCACTCTCTTGCCCCAGCTGGAGTGCCGTGGCGTCAGCCTAGCTCACAGCAACCTCAAACTCCTGGGCTCAAGCGATCCTCCTGCCTCAGCCTCCCGAGTAGCTGGGACTACAGGCATGTGCCACCATGCCCGGCTAATTTTTTCTATACATTTTAGTTGGCCAATTAATTTTCTTTCTATTTATAGTAGAGACGAGGTCTCGCTCTTGCTCAGGCTGGTTTCAACCTCCTGACCTTGAATGATCCACCCGCCTGTGCCTCCCAGAGTGCTAGGATTACAGGTACGAGCCACCACGCCCGGCCTGCATTTCTTTTCACATTCTTTGTCTGCTTAAAACAGCAGAGGATGGTCAGTCTGAGCATTTCTCCCTGGAAAACTGAGAGTACAGAAGCATCCAGGAGCAGGGCTCTGTCTTTTTAGAGAGCAAAGCTGGATGCAGAGGATGTGCCACTTCAGTCCACTGCTCAGTAACAGCAGGGTCTCTGCAGGTAGAGAGCACCTGGGGGCCATATGCAAACAGGGCGCTGGGGCCAAAAAAACTATCGGCATTATAGACTTCTGGTTGTGAATGTATAGAGACCCATGGTAATCATGAGTCTACCATTTGCCAGTGTGACCTCAAACATAAATTTTAAACTCTCTAAACCTCAGTTTCTTCATCTTTAAAATGGGAACAGTTTGGGGGATGGACATGCTTGAAGCTCTTACTCGAGGGGGGAGGGGGCATGGGCAATATATGTAACCTTAACACTTGTATCCCCATAATATGCTAAAATAAAAATAAATAAATAAATAAAATGGGAACAGTGATAGGACCTACTTTATAGATATTCTCTAGGGATTAAATGAAAGGGTCTATGTCAAGTGCCTGGGTGACAATAAATTATCCATTAAGTGTAGCAGCTATTGGTGCTGGTCTCACGGTTGGGGGTGAAGCATTTAGAGGAGAGAAATAGAGTTCAGTGTTAATATCCAGAAAGAAGAAGTAGCATAAAGAACCTCTGTTTACACATGCTCCTTGCCAGAATTCTACTCCATGCTTTTTGTGGGGAAAAGAGAGAGAGAGGGAGAGAGGGAAGGAGGGAGAGAGGGAGAGAGACAGAGAGAGAGAGATAGCAGTACTAAGGCCACAATAAATACCTTTGCTCTCCTCTTCACTCCTAGTCCCTTCCAAAACTCTACCCTTCTTTCATCTCCAAACCACATGAGTTACACAGAAGGACACAGGCAGTATAGATCAAAAATTATGACCCTGAAAAAGCAGAAATTTAAAGCTTCTCCATTTAGTAAGCACGTGAACACAGTGGTAAATTTAAATTTAAGCCTTTGAGGGAGGGTCTCACTGGGTCAGTCCCCTCACGTGAACTTGTTCCGGCCTCTCACCTGTCAGTGGTGAACACAAATGATGAGCACACTCAGACAGGATCCAGTCCAGACCCACCCTGGCTGGCAAAAGTGGCTGTGGCTGCCTCTGGCCTCTTCAGGGCCGTCCAGGAATGACACGTGGTGAATTATGGGAGATGCCACTGATGGCGTGAGTGGAAACATGATGGCCTCCCTTCTTCCTGGCAGAGCCTAGCCTACTATTTGAGCGTTCTAAGTACCAGAGCCAACTGGAAACCAACTACGACTGGGAAACCTTGAACTCTTGAGTTGAAATCTTAGCTTCTAAAGTAAATTTAAAATTGAGCCAAGGGGAATCCTACTTAAACAGGAAGCCCACCTGGAATTACCTAAGGTCTAAATTTCCCGGTGTCAGCTTTAGTTCTCTGCTTACTTACCCCAGCAGTTCCCCTCACAGACACAGGAGGGCCTGCATGGCTGTCACATCTGTGGAAAGAATTTGAAATACTTTCTTTAAAAAAAGAGCCTTTTACCGGGAGGACAAGCAACAGCACATTTACCATTGTATTTTGATATCTTGAGAAGATACATTTTTAATTCTCTGTGGAAAGATATCTTCATTAGTGTATTGTTGGAAAAAATTTCAGAAACCTCTTCCTATGATTGTCTAGAATCAATGTTTTACATCTTTGTCACTCGGGTTTCCAAGAAAAAATTATGTAATAGTGGATTTGTATTGGAGCACAGCATGAAAACATCATAAAATACAGTAGTCAAATTTGTTGAGTGTTTATTATGTGTCAGGCACTGTTTTCATGATCTTTGTGCATGTTAATTCATTTGGATATATCACTTCCATGAAGGGGATATTATGGCTACTCCCATTTTACAGATGATAAGATGGAGAAGTTAGAACACACTGCCCAAGGTACATAGTTAGTGGCGGAACTAGGCGTCAGGCACAGTTTGTCTGAATCCAGAGCCCTCCTTTTCCTCTTTTTTTTTTTTTTGAGACAGTCTCGCTCTGTTGCCCAGGCTAGAGTGTTGTGGTGTCAGCCTAGCTCACAGCAACCTTAAACTCCTGGACTCAAGCAATCCTTCTGCCTCAGCCTCCCGAGTAGCTGGGACTATTGGCATGCACCACTATGCCCAGCTAATTTTTTCTATATATTTTTCAGTTGTCTGGTTAATTTCTTTCTATTTTTAGTAGAGACAGGGTCTCTCTCTCTTGCTCAGGCTGGTCTCGAACTCCTCACCTCAAGCAATCCTTCTGCCTCGGCCTCCCAGAGTGCTAGGATTATAGGTGTGAGCCACCGCGCCCAGCCAAGAGCCCTCCTTCTTAATCAGTACAGAAGTACAACAGTCAGTACAACTGACTCTTCTTCCAAATAGAAAGCATATTTTCTCTTCCTGTGTATTTTTATTTTAAAGACCAATTACATCAGGACCAGACTTAACAATCCATAAGAGCTTTTATTTTAAAAAAAGCAAAAAAAAAAAATTGTTTTAGGATGTTTATTTTTATAAAAATGCCTGACTTACTGGAAAACCATTTTGGAGGTGAACAAGTATACCTTTACTATTTATTTTGCTTCTCTGAAATTCAGTGAGAAGGTTAAAAATATACAAGACCCAGGCCCAAAACTGAGATCGATTTTGATCATTTAGACCTATAATCTTACGCCAGGGGGTACTATACTTGAATTCTGGTCCAAGATTTAACAGACCATAGTAAGTCACAGCTCTGTATGAAATCAGCCCTCTCCTCCATTAAGAGAACAGCGATAGGGATCAAGAGTTAAAAGAACTAGGATTCTAGGTCAGATCAGTCAAAAGTGGCAAAGCACAGTTGTCTTTCATGCAAACTCTTAGCTGCTTCGTGCTGCATAAAAGTTGAGCATAAAACCTAGGAGGCCAAATAATTCTATACTTTTAAGATATCCATATGTATCTTCTAGTTTAGCTCAGATTTTAAATAGAAACTGGAATTAATACCATGGATTTTTTTGTGTGTATTACTCTGAAATACTAGCTCTACTAAAGAAGCTAAATAATTGGTTTTATTTTTATTCTTCTTTTCCATGCACAGTTATTGAGCCTGAATTCCTCCTACATGCTACAGACTATGTTGGGCTCCTTGAAGGAGACAAATATGACTGAGATCGGGACCCTGTTCTCTGAGAGCTTTTAACAATAGGAAAGATTAAATATATAAGGAGCCAGAATATGAGCCAAGACTTGATGAGGTCAGTGGAGACATAAGTAAAGTACGCTGAAAATGCAGAGGGCCCAGCTGGCACTTTCTGGTCTGAACAGGGGAGACGACAGGGAGAAAATGGGAGGTAACTGGTGCAAGAGCCCAAAGAAGTGCATGAGGGAAAGCTTGGAGATGGGAGCATTGCAAGGGAGGTTGGGAATAGGCAGCTAATTCAATATGCCTGGAGCCAAGACTACATGCCAGATCCTGAAGATCTTTCCAGAAGCCTGCTGGGCTGCAGCCCTCACAGTACATCCCCACATGCCAACACTCTTCACCAGCTCTCCAGGCCCTCCCTCTGATTTGGAGTGAGAGCAGCAGGGGCAGGTTTCTGAGAATGGCAGGTGAGTGGGAAATGCAGCTAACGGGCCAGAGGATGCCTGGAGCTCAACTGGGGCAGGGTACCACTAAGTGCAAGGGTGTGCAGCGAGTGGAAGGACGCATGCCCACCTGAGGGTGTGCATGACCGAGTATGCCCCTGGGCACTTAGGTAGAGGGCTTAGGACTCAGCCACTTTGGAGGCTCAGAGGCTGTGCACCCACTCCTAGGCCCTCCCTCAAGTTAATTTATGTTTCTGATGTGAATAGCTTCCACTTGAAGAACGAGTAAAAGCAACGATCATATCATATCACGGAAGCTATGCTGGTAAAAGCTAGCTGGACTTGGTCATTTCAAGGGATACCAAGACACCTCATCTTCTGCATTTAATCACAAGCCCTACTGATGCCACGTCTCTGAGAGCCTTCACATATATCTCCCCACTTCTCCATCTCTAATCATTCTGCCTGATATTAAACTTTCACAGCTGCTCTTCTGGACACCTCTGCATCCTTCACACCCTCCAATAGAAAGATCTAAAATGCAAATTTGATCTTATCAATCCCTGCCTAAAAATCTTAAGAGGTATTATCCAAAAATCTTAACATGGAACAAGGCTTTTCTTTGATCTCGTGACTCCACTCCCAGACAACCCTTCAAGTCTCATCTCCCCACACTCTACTCCTCCATAGGTACCTGTACTCTAGACTTGTCAAATTAATTCCACCTCCATTCAATATTCTCTCTTGTTTTCACACATTTTCAGATACTATTCAGAAATGCTCATTCAACAGAGTAGGGTGGGGCTCAAGAATATTCATTTCCTACCAGAACCGTAGGTGATTTTTTTCCCCCCAAGTGTTGGTGGAGCACACGGGAACCACTGAGGAGCTCCACCTGTATGGCCACAGGCCATTCAGACCCCACGTGTCCAACAGGGACTCCACACCCTCCTTCCAGCCTTGCTCCTTCCTATCCAATCAATCAAGTCCTGTCATTCAAACTCAGAAATCCCTCTCAAATCCATCCACATCTCTACATCTCCTTGATGAAGACATTTATCATCTTTTGCCTTTATTATTGCACTAGCCCCTTAAACTGTCCTTCTGTCTCCAGCCTTTGGTCCTAATCCAATCCAGTCTCTATACGTTAGGTAGAGCGATCAGTATTAATCGAATCATGCCACTTCCCAGCAGGCTTTCCATTTGCTCTCAGGTAAAAGTTGAAATTCTTTTCTGCATTTGTAAGGCCCTATCTGATCTAGTCCCTGCATGCTTTCCAGCCTCATAACTCACCTTCCTATATCCCTCCTGCCATAGGGGATTTGATAGATCTCTGAGCCTATACACATATTGTTCTTTTACCCAGAACACTCTTCTACCCCCTATTTGCCTGGATAACTAAGTCATACTTGAAGAATCACTATAAATACCATTTTTTTCCCCAGGATCCTACTTGGACTTTGTCTGAGATACATACCCCTCGTGTGTCCTCCCATAGCACACGGATCTTCCCCATCTCTTAGCATTATTCTTGTATGTTTCTCCATTTCCATTTTCTTGTCCTCACAAGACTCAAGTCTGGGGATGCAAGGCCTGTCTGTTTTGTCCCACAGTGCTGCACATGGTATTCTTCAAGTCATTTTTGTTGAATACATGAATGAATGCGTTCATTCTTACCCTCACCACATCTGCTCTTCCTCTTATTTTCTTCATGATCATCTGCCTATTTTCCCAAGCCAGACTGGAAAGTTATTCTCTCCTCCTCCATCTTCCTCACTCACCACTTCCAACTGGTTCTCATGATTCTACGTTCTAAATCTTGCACAGATATGCCCATTTTTGCCTTCCTCATTGCCTCTACCTTATTTTAGACCACGACTATTTGAACAGTCCCTTACCTGGTCTCTCTGACTTTAATTTTTCCCCCTCAAATCTACTCTTTGTGCTACAGCTAGAGCACAGTTTCTCAGCCGTGGCACTACTGACATTTCTTTGTTGTGGTGGTCGGCAGGACATTTAGCAGCATCCTTGGCTTCTAGCCACTAGATACCAATTGCACGCCCGCTTCAGTTGTGCCAACCGAAAACATTTTTTCTAACACTGCCAAATGTCCTTCAGGGGACAAAATCACCCTTGGTTGAAAACCACTGAGCTAAAGTGATCTTTCTAAAATGAAAATCTGATTATGTCACTTCTCTGTTCAAAAACCATCAATGGAAAAAATATACACGCATGCACACATACACACACACACACACACACACACGGAAATCCACTGAAATGTTAATGTCTGTCCAGATCAGTGGGTTGTTTATAAACAAAGAATAGGAGTAGTACTATTTTAAAAGGGATTAAGGTATTATTTTGAAAGTGATTAATGGCTTCCTACTCCCTACAGGATCAAGTCCAGGCTCCTTCATACGGCACTGCATATACAAAGTCCCTGTGTTGTGGCCTCTCCCAACCTCTCCTGCCCCATCTTATCAGTCCTCACCTTTACTGTGTCACTGAACCCCAGGGACCTACGTGAATTCCTGTTTGCTCCAGTTTCTGCACCTTTGCTTGTGTCATTCCTTTTGCCAGGTGCAGCCTCTAGACCCTTAATTGCCTGGCTCAGTCCTATCTGTCCTTCAAAAACTGGCCCTTCTCTTCCAGGAAGGCCTCTGGATCCTCTAGTCTGAGCTAAGTGCTTCTCCTCCATGTTCTCCTGGCAGGAATAACAGGCATCGCCATAGCACTCACCATATCAGACCACAATCATCCGTGCACCTGGCTGGTACCCAGGTTGCCCAGTTATGCCCCCATGGCATCCCTGTGCCAATTCTAAAGGGCACCCGTTCCTCCAGACCTTTTACTGTCACTTGCTGGAAATTTCCATCATACATACACAGATCCTTGATGGTCATGATGTAACTGGCACCTCCTAGAGTTCTGTGGTGTTAACTCCTGCCTGACCCTATGCAGCAATCTGGTGCTCCCTACTAGGTTGCAAAGTCCTCCAGGCAGGGACTCAGATTTAATTTCACAATTTTTTTCCTTTATTTTATACATTTCACTGTTTTATCTCCAGTACTAACCACAGTGTCTGATCCAGAGTAGGACTTTGAGATTAATAAAAGCTTAATAAATAAATGAAAGGGAATATATCTTGGCTACAGTCACCCAGGCCAGGAATTCTGACAGCTTATTCCTAGTAGGAATAAGCTAAACTGCAGTGGTTCCTGAATCTGCACGAGCCTCCAAATATCCTGGAGAATTAAAAACAAATCAATAAAGCTCCCTGCACCCAGCTTCAGACCTTCTGAATCAAAATGCCAATGCTGGAGCCTAATTATCCATCATTATTTTTAAATTGCTGATGAGATTCTATAACTAGATCAACTGGGAACCAGTGGCCACCCAGGATAAAACTCAAAACCACTCCCTTTGTCTTGCTGTCTTCTACCTCTTGCCACCACAACCCTGCAGTTTATCTGTGGACACCGCACCTGGGACCACAGGAGCTTTTCTAAAGAAGGATCTTGCTTACTCTGACCTCTCCTTCAGTCTAAAGTGCCTTAGAGTCCTGTGTCTTCCAACTCAGATAGAGGCACTCAACTGGAAAAGAGGAAGAGTGCACAGCAGGATGTCTGGAGGGATGGGGGACAGAGAAACTATCCAGGAAAAAAAAATATGATCTCCCTTTTTAATTTTCCAAATTAAATGTGGCCTTTTTGCTTATGTAACCAGGAGGTTGCAGCTGGACTGCCTAAGCTGTGTACACCCCATGGATCAGGCAAATTTGGGCATGTCTGAAGAGCAGCTGGGTGGATCCACCAAAGCTCTTTGCAACTGAAGGATAACACACATCATCTATTCATGGTGGGGAGGGCACCACTGGAATAACTGGGGGTCTGGAACAAAAAAAAGGAACAACTGTAGATTCTCCTTGGCAGCCAGGAAGACTGCATTTATAAGTTCAAGACACAAAGTACTAGATAAACTCTGTGGAAAGACTTTATGAGATGATGGAGTTGCTGTAATTCTGTGATGGGAGCTGAGCACCACATGGTACGTGCACTAGATGACCCATAACAAGACGCTTGGAAACATGTGTCTGTAACATGACTTACAGGAAAATGATGGGGGAAAGCTATATGCAATATATGAATACTTTTCTAGGATTTATTGGCTAACAATAAATAAATTAAAACATGAATGGAAAATATTTTTGTTTTTTCCTAGGGTTGGGGTGGGGTAACCATTTCTGAATAGGGTTAAAATCATAATGAAATAATTTGGGAAGTGTATACATTTGGGAGGAGGAAGGAATCATATTTGAGGCAGGAATGGTAAGCTTTTTTGCCTTTTTATACATTCATGGAGTCATGTTCCTATGGCTTCTTATCCACCTATATCAAGAAATCAAAGCTTTGTGGCTCACGCCTGTAATCCTAGCACTCTGGGAGGATGAGGTGAGTGGATCGTTTGAGCTCAGGAGTTCAAGACCAGCTTGAGCAAGAGTGAGACTCTGTCTCTACTAAAAAAATAGAAAGAAATTAGCTGGACAACTAAAAATATATAGAAAAAATTAGTCGGGCATGATGGCACATGCCTGTAGTCCCAGCAACTCAGGAGGCAGAGGCAGCAGGATCGCTTGAGTCCAGGAGTTTGAGGTTGCTGTGAGCTAGGCTGACGCCACAGCACTCACTCTAGCCAGGCCGACAGAGTGAGACTGCCTCAAAAAAAAAAAAAAAGAAAGAAAGAAAGAAAGAAAGAAATCAAAGCTTCAAGGTGCCAAATACTTTTATTGGCTGGGCCTTAAAGTAAATGACTATATCTGGTGAAATGATGAACTCCATTGTCTTCTGGGGACAGCTACTCATTACCCAGGGTCATTTCTCAGTTAAAAGTAAAGCTTAAAAGAGAAAAAGAAATTTCTCTGATAAGCAAGTTTTTTAGGGATGAACAGAAGGCTGTCTTTTGCCTTCTGTTGGTTCTTTGTCTCTGATTTGCAGAAGATCCTCTAAACTGCTTTGCTGATTTGTCATCCAGAGCACCCAGTGTGACAAAGTCAAGCCCCTGATGGCTTCAGCAAGTAGAAACCTGACTGCTGCCTGGCCCAGCATGACTGTGCTTCCCCGGCCCTTCCTGGTGTGCTCATAGGCAAGGAGGAGCTCCTGAATCAGAGTCTGTATTTTGAAGGTTGATTTTGTATTTTAGAGGATCAGAACTGCCAAAGAAACTTAGGTTCTACTTGAGATTAAAGAGCCCCTCAGAATGTATGATACACAATTTATATTACTCGCCAGAGTAGAACACTCCCCTTTGAAAAAATACTTCCTCCCCCACATTTAGGATTTATATCCAAATGTTTAGGTCACATTCAAATTTAAAAATCAAAAGGACATGATTTTAAATTTTATCTTCTGAGACTTCTTAAGAGCAAAACACAGTACCTTTATTATATTCCATGCCAGCAGAATTAATAAATATGTAGCAATGTCAATGATAATGTTAAATGTTAAATATTCCCACTTACATTTTGAAAGTAAAATGTATTTAAAGATGATAAATTCTGAAAACTACTAAACACACACATCTACCTAAATGATGGAATTTGTTTTGTTTCTGCCTGCTGTGTCTCAGTTTCAGTTTTTCTGGTTAAAAGACCTACAAGTCATTTTGGTATCTAAGAATGACATTATCTAAACAGAATTTTGCAAGAACTCAATTTTTTTTTCTCAATTTGGTCTATAACCAAAATACATGACACCCAGAATGAAGATTATAGATTGTTTATCTACTTTGATCCACTTTTGCCGTAACTTGCAATGTGAGCTTGGAAATAACTTGTTCATACAGTTAACAGGTTCCTCAACTTTTCTCGGTTTGTTAATGCTAGATTGTTCAGCTACGCAATACTCTGCCTCAAAGAAAATCACCTAAAATACAAATTATATCACAAATCCTAGCAACACCACACATTAGGAATAATTTTTTTTCTCCTTAAAAGAAGTATTTCCCGTGCAAAAAATTCTCAATTTTAAATCCCCCAAATGAGAGAATCACTAGTGTCTCAAACATCTTTTTTACAAAGAAAAACAACTCACCTATTCGAAGAGTTATTTCCTTGCAAAGTGACTCTGGTAGAGACAGTCAGATAAAGCTACATTTCGTTCAGCTCTTCATTATTTCCTCAGACAAAAACAACCTCAGGTGAAAGCTGGAAGTAAAAAAACCTTCCATCCACCCAAGAGGGGAGGACAGGGCTTTGCTAAGTTCCAGAGCCTCATCACACGCCCCACCAGCTGCTTGCTGGCTCTTGTTTTTCAGTGACAGTGACCTCCAACACCTTTTATTTAGTGCAGCAACGCACTCTTAAACCTGACGGCACACGGAACACATCACGTGCCAAGCCAACACCTTAAGAGGGTGGGAAGCTTTGCAACCAGGAAGACGTGCCGAAAATATTCAGCCGTCAGCTCAACTGCACATAAGCAGAGCCTTGCTTATTTTTCACAAAACAATCCAATAACACAATGAGTCAAGTGAACTGATTTATACAGTTCCAAACCAGGAACCATCTGGAACTATGCCTCCACTGCTCCAAAAGCTTCTCCTCTCTCACCTTATATTTAAATTCTGGGCAACCACAAGGGAACAGCTGCCCTCAATATTTCTAGTAGCAGCAATACATTTTCCTCCTCTGTTTTAAAATTCTATTTTCTCTACTCCCTTTGCTCATCTCATATTTACTCTCATCTAGTCTTTATACATAACCGACTCTAGTTATGACCAAGGACACACATACTCCCTAAAGGAGGAGTAGTTTTGATTTGGTTATCTTTTCCTGGCCAAGACACAGCCCAGGCTCTTGGAGCAGTGGAAAAACTGTCAATTTCCCAATGTTTAAGCCATCATTCCCCAAATGCACCACCCTGGCAGTTTGTTAGAAGTTGGATTTCAGGTGAGCCAAGTTTCATGGTTTCATAAGAATTCTGTCATTGTGTGAGCTAAGTCCTGTTTCTTTTGTTACTATCTGAACTGAAATTCTAAGAACAAACATTAAACATTCTGGACACAGAACAGGCTGCTGGCCTCTGATATCAGCTGACTAGTGGGCTGTCACATGATCTGAGTTTAACTCACCCTTTCTGTCCCTGCGACTGAAGCTTTAAAGTCTCCTTTCCAGATTTCCTGAAGGAAAAGAGGGAAGCGAATGATGATCTGAAGCTTGGCCGTGAAGGAACAGATGTTGGTTTTTTTTGATTAGTTAAATTTTTAGATCTTGACGTTTGTGATTCTATTGGATCTAAAAAAAAAAAATTTTTTTTAAAGTTTTGCATCATTAAAATATTTCCAAGTAAATATACTTGAAAGAACGAAGCCTTCGCTCTTGTTTCCCTCTCCCCCTTCTATGCAGTCTAGAAATGGAGCAGGCAGGCACCCTCACATGAAGACCTCAAGATTTAAGGGAAGTCAGCAGAGCCTTCTCTCAAAGTCCTGTGCCTCCCGTGTTCTGCTGGGTAGAGAAAAATCCTCCCCAGTATTATAGTATGGAGTCTTTAAGTACATACTGGGGCTCCAAGCTCTGTACAGTGTCCTTCCTTTCACTCTAGCTGTGTCAATCTTTTCAACATGTCTTCCCCATGGCTGTCCCAAACCCAAGCTAGGAAGTCAGGGACCCCATCCAATTCTCATGTTGCTCGACCACTCTGTCCTTCAGAAATCACGGCGATAGGTATCACTGCATAACATTTATGTCGAAGAAAGTAAAGGAAAAGAAAATTAAGCCATTTAGGCTGTTTCTTATTCCTTTCCAAAAATCTCTCTCTGTGCATATGCATTTGCTACATATATGGTTTTACATATGTGTTTACATGCAACATTTACAGGTTGAGCAACCCAAATTCAAAATCCATAGAGCTTCAAAATCCAAAACTTTTTGAGCACCAACATGATGCTTAATGGAAATGCTCATTGGAGCATTTCAGATTTCGGATTTTCAGATTTGGGATGCTCAATTGATAAGTATATATGATGCAAATATTCCAGAATCCAAAAAGAGCCAAAATCTACAAGCATTTCAGATAAGGGATATTCAACCTTTTTATGTACAATATATGTGTATAGATAATATATAGTTTTATACTCGAGTATTAAAAATTCAAAGGCAACATCAACATATACAAAGTCCATAACACCTTAACACTTTTGGACATGCTGACTTTATAAATAGTAGAAGAATTTAGGGTAAGGGAAAAGTCCCCATGGTATATATGTGGTTGATCTAAAAATAAACTGGTTTTTTTAGATAGATTTTGTTTATTATAAGAGCTACAAGACATTATCAATATATTATAAATTTAGAAATAGTATTACATGTTTTAAGATGTTACTAATGTTAGTAACATAAACAAGAGCAATCAGTGTGACTCTGTATCAGTAAAAAGATACTTTATATTATTTTAGTACTTTATATAGTTTTTAATGCACTTTCACAACAGTCCTGTGAAAGCAGGGTTTAGTATATTCCTTTATAGATTAAAAAAAATAATTGATTGGTGACGTTAAGTCCATGCTGGTGGGCACGTGGTTAAAATGTGCATAGAGGGTGTTTATTAGAACTCATTTATGGAGTTTAACAAAGTACCACAAGGGGGACAGCCCCTCTGCTTACCTTCCCTCACCCTTCCTCCAGCTTCCTCTGATTCTCCCCTCCCCCAACCCACCCCTTCTCTGCTTCCTCCTCCTTCCTTCTTCATCATCATCCCATTTATTTAAGTGCTTATTAAATAATAATATTTATTTCCAGCTTAATACTTTATACATTTGGATAAAGTACAGCTGGAATATTCGTTCCAGCTTAATACTTTATACATATAATTTTACTTGATACTTATAACCATCCTATGAGGTAGGTATTAACAACTCCATACCCCTGACATTACAGTAAAATTTCAGTTCACTTTTTTTAGTGTTATGTTGTAAAACTTTTGTACCTTATGACTTTAAAATAGTCCTAAACATGGATTTGTTAAATTAAAGGTCCACTGAGCTGTTACCTACAATGTATGCCACAGAAAAAGAAAAAAAAATGTAATTAAAAATTATTTTCTTACCATTTTTTGCCATCTCCTTCCTTAGCCTATATGTAAGTGGCTGTTTTAACATTTGGCTAACATCTGTTTCATTGCAAAACTTTTTTCTTTGAATTTCTTCAAACCATTCACCAGTCACTCCTTGAAGCCATCTGATATCCCTCTTTGTCTTCTGAAGTTTGCTGAAATAAAATAAAAATATCAATATACCCTTTAGTTCATTCGCATGGTACAAATTCATGTGACGGACAAACCTTTACCTAATGGAGGAGCATCATGAACTCTAAGTCTAGAAGAACATTGACTCTAGTGAGATTTTCCTTTTCACCACTGTCCATATATTTTAGGTGTATTCTTCAAATCATGATGACAATTTAAAACTTTTTGCCAGTAATTAAAATAATCGCCAAGTCAATAAGGACAACCTGAATTGAGCAATGTGCTAAAACCTGTCCTAGTAATGTAATCGAACGATAGATGTTCTAGTGACACGCAGAAACTAGAATATTCTAGTTCTGATTACTCATTCATTCATTTGTTAATACATTAAATGTTTATTGAGCAATCTTAATTAATTGTTTATTGAGGCCCCGTGTAGGCTGTGAGGATTGAATAGTGAATGTAACGAATAGGATCCTAACTTGTCCATGCAGTAGTCAAAGATCAAAGCTAACATGCAGAAAAAAAATTATTGAATATAATGGTCTTAGATAATGGAATTCTTTAAACACAAAAACACAAAAGCCCATGACTGAGCACAGGGCTAATGCAAAGGTCGTAAGGGATAATATGATTTGAGATGAACAGGAAAAGGCCATGTATGCAGAGCAGAAATGTGTCTGCCCCACAACTTTAGCATGCCAGGCCTCAAATTCTATCATTATTTCTTTTTTTCTTCTCTCCTGCCCTTTCCTGCTTAGTCCTCTTTCAAATGAAAATGCTGCTCTGAGTCCTTAATTAAATCACCGGTTGTCATGATTTCTTTATTTCATTTCCAAAGTGGATCATTTTGCTTTTTCTAAGCTGCTTGGAAATCCAAGGTGCTTAATCCAGAGGGGGTCGTTGCTGGACTGAGGCAACATGAGCAGAAAGGAGAGTTTGCAGAACTTGATCACAGGGCTAATAAAGTGGCAGGTTTTGCAAAGCTGATGAAAAAGTTAGGCATGCTGCTGAGTTCCAATCTTGGGAGTTTCTGCTGTTTGGGGAAATATTTCATGGGACGCAGCAGCTTCACTCTTTATCCCAGATCTGCTGCAAAGCACAAGTGTTAGGGCCTTTACTAAGAAGGTGTAAACAAGATGTGTGAGAAGTGGCAAACTTGGGGTTAAAGGCAATGAACTGAGGTGGCGGTAACCCAGGTTCTTGCTTGAGGCTATGATACTGCCATTTTATAAAAATATTCCAGAAAGAAGCCAGAGGTCACCTTGCCCAGACTTGCATTTTGAAAAGCATTAGGCAGCAGTTATTATGTTCAGCCTAGAGAATCTGCATTGGTGCCTCTTCTTTTGCAATTGCCATCCTCTGACACCTGGTCACTCCTGTCTCTTCTCTATTGCTACTTCCATTACTAACAGAACAACTGAGAGACCCTAAGTATCTGCTTCTAACCAAGACTGGCTGCCCCCAACTCATTAACACCTACCTACTAATGTCTCACTTTTGTGCACAACCTCCACTTCCTGGCAAGCCTCTCTAATTGCAGGTTCTGCAAAAGCCAGCACCACCCTCCTCTACTTCTCAACAGGTCCTGCTCATTTCAAAAGACAGGCAAGCTACCTGACTTAGGAACATCCCATGTGAACATAACTTTTTTTCCCCTACAGGCTTGATGTAACATTGACCCTCTTTTTAAAAATAATCCTACTTCACTTAATTCCACCTCTAGCACTCATTCCACACTTGGACACGTATCTACCACTGCCTGTTCCTTTTCCATCTTCTGGCAAATGATGCCAGAAGTCTGTATTTCCCTACAAGTACTCATACACTTTGAATTCTACTCCAGGAAATACATCTTGAAGCAATAATCCTACCCCAAGCACAGTGATTTAACTGAACGTCACAAAGTGGCTAAAAGTAATGATGAGGGCAAGGGAGAATCCTGGGAAAATACATGTGACACAACATGAAGCAGGAAATACAAACTACAACATTGTGTCTCTTACTGCTACGTAAAAATGAATCCTCATTTGGGTGACACTAAGGAAAAAATGAAACTACCTGATCTTTTAGAGTAGAATAATCATAGGTATCATTTCTATTTTTAGCTTATTTTATTATGTTCAATTTTAGCTTTTTAATTATTCAATATGTATAGTATTTTTGTTTAACTGTGAATTTATATTTATATTGTCATCTTTCCATTAAATTTTTTTTGGAGAAAGAGGGAAAAAAAAAATCTGTCATATTGTCATAATCCTAACACAGTCACTGTTGCCCTTTTGGCATGATTTCTCCTCTGCGTTTTTTCACATGATTACGATACAATGTGTTCATTACCCCTCTGTGGAAGGCCTCCTATGGTGCAGACGCTGGGATAACATGGGGAGCAGAACAGATACGGCTCAACACCCCAGAGATCTTATAGCCTAGTGGGAGAGAGAAAGATGAACCCAATAGCGATACAAATGTAAGGTATCAGATAGTAAACAGGAGTTATTCATTCAATGCATGTTTGAAGGTTGGGCAAAGAGCAGTGAAAAAGTCAAGTCCCTGCCCTCATGGGATTTAAATTCTGCTGTGCTGGGAGTGAGTTTGTGCACAGGTGCAAACAATAAAAAAGTAAGTACCTGCTACAAGAGCATATAACAAGGGACACCCCCCCTCCCCAGGCTGAAGCAACAGCACAGATTTCCCTGAAAGGATGACCCAGGGCTGGAAGGATGCAGGATGAAAGGAGTAGTCGGTTCAGGAGTGTCTGGGAGAAAGCTTTCTAGACAGAGGAGTAGCCATGGTAGAGCAAGAAGTGCCCCAAGGGAAGAAGCAAGGAAAGAAATGAGGCCTGTGTGGCTGAAGTGTGGAGATGGAGAGGAAGACTACACCAAGGACAATGGAGAGTGGACAGAGGCAGTTGGATAATGCAGCATTGGGGGTCAGGTTAAGCAGTTTGGTGCTTGGTCCTAAGCAAGGAGAAAGCATGGATGGCTTAGCAGGGATGTGACATGTCAGATTTGCATTTTTAAAAGATCATCCTAGCTGCAGGTGGAGAATACATTCCAGTGGGAGACAGGAGACCAGTGAGGGCATTTATAGGGTCTAAGAGAGAAAGGCATGCTCCAGGATGGTGGTGGTGAAGCCTAAGAAAAGTGGAGAGTGTTCAGAAAGGCTTAGGGGGAAAACTGATCCCCCAAGTGATGGAGTGACTTTGGGGGGTTAGGAGGGAAGAGACATTTCAAAGAAGATTCCTAGACTTCTGATTTATATAAGTGCATGGAAGATGTTACTCATAGAGATTGTGCATATATAATTTTTAAAACCCCAAACTTAATATTATATCAATGACACCTTTAACATTATTCATCTTCAGAACAATCATTAAATAGTTGCATAATATTTAAGTTAGCATGTTTTCCATAATTTATTTATTATCCCCTTGATGAAGGACATTGAGATTTTCCCTTATAAATACTCTGTAATAAACATCATGTGCAATTTTTAATTTTTATAGTATTTCTGTCAGACACCAAAATACAATGATTGGGTCAAAGAGTCAAAACATTTCTGTGATTATACATACTACCACAATGGCTGTACCAATAGCACTCATGCTAGCAATGTACAAGGACATTAGACATCTTGGAAGACTAGGTATTACTATTTCCAGTATTTTTATTTTTATAATTTAATATTTTGATGGCACTATTTATAATGTCAGCAATTATTTTTCTTTCTAAGAATTTTTTTTCTTTGTTTAATAAAATATGCTACATTTCTTTGATAGGTAGTGAGGTTTCAACATTGTCCCATATGTCTGTTTACTAAGTATATTTTGTGATTTGGCAATTTTATGTTTTGTCAATTTATAAATCAGTGCCTCAGAGTTTTTCATTAGAATGAGACATATTTAAGAGAAATATTAGTTCATTATTTTTCTTATTTGTTTTACATATTTAGCCCAGGTTTTTTACTTTCATTTTGATTAAATTTTGAATGTTGGGCCATATAAACCTCATTCTGGTTGGGACTAAAGTAGGTAAAAACATAAATAATCTGTAGATATGTTTATGCTAATATTTATTTCCTGAAGACAATGAGAAATGAAATTCAGGTAGTAGTGACATACAGACACATGAAGATTTTGAAGAAATTCACAAGCTTTTAAAGCAGAAATATTTCAAGGATGATCCTGGTTGTCAGGAAAGTAGATAAACATGTACAGTCAAAAGCCAGAAAATTCAAGGTTTGGGTGGTCAAAAAAGGCACTGTGTTTACTATTAAATATTATCAAGGAAGTAAAACAGAAATAGTTCTGGCCTTTGATGTAAGGGTGACCCAGGAAGGGAAACTGTGAATGACATAAAAGTCTAAACTCAGTGGGTACCTGTAACTCACTTTCTTAACCTTACACACCCAAGAGCCCTGTAAAATAACATAGTATAGTATAAAATGTAAATTATAGTATGAAACATAAATTTACAATGGTTGACTGAGCTTCTTGTACTAAAAAGAACACAACAATCGTAACAATTGTAAAATCGGTGGTTTAGACTTACTTTTGTACTTAAAAAGGTAAAATATCAAATAAACTCAACATTGGCAAGCAAGAAAAAATTATGGACATAAAGCAGGGGCACAGTGATGTGTGAAACTTGAGCACAGTATTTTATATCTCAGCTGTTCTCAGTTTGACGGAGATAACATTTGTTTGTAAGTGGAATTCAACCACGTTCACAATCGGCCTGCACGAGGCTCTGCCTCAACTATGATGGTTTGTTTTAGTCTCCGGCAGCCAGTTAGGGTGCACAGTCTACTTTATACCAATGAGAAGAACCTCAGGGGTGCAAATGACATACATAGAGGCAAATTACTAGTACACAGCTTCTCTGCTTAATTAGTCCAGCTTGACGCAACATATCACCGGAGACTGTTGTCTACACTTCTAATTTGTTTTACCCTCAGGCTGGTCAACTTGACTAAATTAAATCAGGTCTTTTCTTGCTGGGCTGCAGGCCCAGCCCTCTCC